TATGAAAGTGTTATCTGAAATGGTGGATGATATTCATCATCAAGTGCTTTCAAACTTGAAAACGTCTGCTGATTCCATGAAGATATGATATTATAAGCGATCTACTGAAGTCAGCTTTGTATCAGGAGACAAGGTGTGGTTGTATAATCCCAGGAAGACCAAAGGGAAGTCTCCTAAGTTGTCTTCTCCATGGGAAGGCCCATATGACATAGTGGATCGTCTCTCAGACGTGACTTTCCAAATAAAATGTGGTCGGCGAGGTAAGTCAAAGGTGGTGCATGCCAACAGGCTTTGATTTTCTCATGGTCCAGGGCATTTCAGTTGGAATGAAGGGAACAACGGAACAAATGACACTGCTGAAGACATGTCACCTGAAAAAGCCACTGTCAAAGAAGAAACTCTACCAGGTTTAGAGAATTGAAACAGTGAAGCCGTTAATGAAGTTACTACCACTAACGTGACTGCTACCGATAATGGGATATTTCCTGATGGAGCAGATGAATCCCACGTGAAGCAGAAGCCAATGAGACAGAGACCAGTACAAAAGAAGAAATGTCCTGTAAAATTAAGACTTTGTTATATTTTAATTTTGCGTTTGTAAATTCTGTACGTTTAATTACGTTATTGTTAATTATCTATTGGTTTAATGTAAGTGGCTATTGTTCGGGACGAACAATACTAAGGAAGGGGCAGTGTTATGACAGCGGAAGTCACGTGATGCTGGGAGCATGTGTAACTGAGTTTCTCGAATTTTCAGGGAAGCTTGAGTGTGATCGAGAGACGCCTCTTTGTTAGTATACAAGTCTGTGGGTTTGAATGTATGGTTAAACGAACAGCAGTCACGGTGAGTTTCGGGTAATTTACAATTCTGTTTCGAGCTAGTGTGTGTTTTGCACTCGTAGAGAGCGAAATTATCGATATCGTGAATCACTGTGATTTTTAGTGTGTATTACAAAAGTAGTTAAGTTTAAGGTGACGAGAAACATACTGATTGTGAAATTACTGTGTGCTAAAAGTTTGTATCAAGGAAGAATAAACTGGTTTAACCAAGAAAGGACTTGTATTGCTTAAGTTTCTCGGAAAGAATTACTTTCGGAAATTAATAAACAAACAGATATGTAACAATACCAATTTGACCACAAATGTTTTGCGGGTCTCTGCTAGTTGTGAATTAATATTTTGTTTCATATGTTCACTTGTTTTTACATTTGTTGTCCATAATTAATTTATTTTGTACTCAACATTTCTGAAACTGCGTTTTTGGGTAATCTTTTGAGTTATCTGTTGGACACAGTATTCCTAAATATCTCACGCCTATAAGGTAATGATATCAGTAATGATTATTAAATATACTGTGGGCGATATTTCACGAATGTGTATTTTACACGATAGGTCATGAAAAAACAATTATGTTACTTTTCGATTTGTTATTACTTTTTATTGAAAAAAAAAACAAAATATGATATTAAATTAAAAAGCTTTTTGGCTTTAATACATATACAATAAACACAATTTTTGATTTACAGTTTATATTCTCTTAGTTTATATAAAATTTTTAGAAATATTTAGATACGACTTGAAACTTTGTTTCATTCTACATATATAAAGTGTGAAGCTATATATACGGTAGTAATACCTCTGATTTTGTTCAACAATATACACAAATTTTAAAATCTAAGTAATAGAACAATGTACATACTAAACATCCACACAGAAAATGAAACGGTGATGACTGGCACACATTCTTTACAGTAATAATGATGATCCTTCTTCACAAATGAAACAAAGAAAATGCATCAAGATGTTAATTGCAACAGAATACTGTGAAAGCAAAAACAATAGTTGATATTGAATTGTGCTGTATGCTGCACATCACTCCAAAAAACTGATAAGTTGAAATCATAAATAATCTTCAACGTTAAACTGGTACACAATTAAAAACATTTTATTTAGG